GGAAGGGCCGGCCGCGTGCCACAGCAGGCTGTTAAGAAAGTGTACAAACTTTATTGGGGCACGTGCACCTCCCCCGCAGGAGGGAAGAGCACCGGCCACGCGGCCCAGGAACGGGGAAGGGCTGGCAGCCTGGAACGTGACTCCTGCCAGTCCCCACTTCCGGTAGGGGAAGCCTTGGCCGGCGGCCCCGCCTCCCTGGTGACCGGAAGTCAGACTCAGGATGGGAGGGAGAACCGGATTAGGGAGAGGTGCCGGGCGGCCTGAGCAGAGGGCGCCCCGAGCAGGGTCCCCAGAGCCGCGAGCGTCTTCAGTCCTGTCCGCCCTCACAGCAGCTGTCTTGGGTCCCTCGAAGGGGCATCCCAGCGCAGGGTCTCCCTGTGCAAACACTTGGTGCCCCTGGCCCCGCAGCGGAAGCCGGCGGGACAGCAGTGGCGCTGATCGGCACAGCAGACGCCCTGGATGGTCAGAGGGGAAGAGCGGGTTGGGTGGGCAGGACCTGGCCCTCGGACACACCCAGCCCCAGGGTGGGGGGTGGCACCGACCTGGCGGTAGGGACAGCAGGCCCAGCCCCCTTTCCTGTCCCGGCAGCAGGTCTGGTTGTCATGGCAGTAGCGCCCGGCCCCACACGCCACGTCCCCCACGCCCCCGTCAGGGCCGAGGGCCAGGAGGGCGGCAGGCTGGGCGGAGTCCACGTCCTTCTCACAGGACCGAGCCTTCACGTTACAGGTGTACCCGGCCGGGCAGCAGTGCTGGCGGTCCTCACAACACACGGCCTGGGTGGGGGACGGGCATTATACTCCTGTCCCCTCGCCAGACCTAGCTTCCCTCTCCAGGGCCAGGCGGGCACTCACATGGGGCAGCTGGCAGCAGGCCCAGCCCCCGCCCAGGCTGGGACAGCAGGTCTGCCCCACCGGGCAGCTGGTGTGCTGGTCACAGCCGATGTCTCCAGGGTGGGCCAGGGAAGCCTGTTGGGCAGGCGTCTTCTCCAGTCCAGCCACTCTCTCACTCCCCTGCTGGCACTGCCCCTGCGCTGTGCATGTGTAGCCCCGGGGGCAGCAGTGCTGGTGGTCCGGGCAGCACACGCCCTGGGGGGTGGAGGAGCCTGGTCTAGGGAGCTGCAAGGTGGGGCGCGCGCTGAGCCCCCAGCTGCCCTAGCCCGCCTGTCTATACACAGCTCCTCCAGCCGGGGACGCCTCTGACAGAGCTGGGCGTCACCTGTGGGCCAGGTGGACTGCAGGAGAACGAAGCCACAGGCATCTGGCCACCTGTGTGCCAGGCCGGGACGTTGTCCCCCCCCCGTGTACCTCCGAGACGGGACAGCAGCCCCACTCCCCAGACTCCAGCCGGCAGCAGGTGTTGGAGGGGGGACAGCTGGTGAAGTTGTCACAGGGGACATCCCTCTTCACGGCCTGTGGGCCTGGCAGGCGGAAGTGGGCCAGGGCCTTTTCCATCCAGGGCACCTGGCGGGTCCCCTGTTCACAGGTACCCTTCTCTGTGTCACACTTAAACCCCTCCGGGCAGCAGTGGATGCGGTCCTCACAGCACACAGCCTGGTGGACAGAGGCGGCCAGTGGGCACAGACCCTAGCTGCTCCACCCTGTGCCCCTCCTACCGCCCACGCGCCTGGGTACCTGGGAGAAAGGGCAGCAGCCCCAGGCCCCTGACTGAAGGCGGCAGCAGGTGTAGCCGTCGGGACAGCTGACCTCAAGGTCACACTTCACGTCCCCCACTGTGACAGGGACAGAAAGGACAGCTCAGCAGTGGCCCTGGGGAGCCCCAGGTACCCCTGGCTTGGCCGGCCCCACAGCTGGAACCAGGTGTTGAGGATGAAGGTTCCATGCATGCCACCCGGAAAGTGACCCTAAGGCAAGGCCCAGGGGGGAGGACGGTGCCCCGTTCCCCACATCTGTGCCTGGGGTAGCCTAGCAGAGGCCCCCCTGGGGAGCAGGCAGAACGGGGTCCGAGCCCACCTCCAGTACCTATGCGTGCAGACAGCTTGGCGAGGAGGTCCGTGGCGCTGCCCTTAGAGAGGCACTTACTCTGGATCAAGTCACACACAGTGTCCTGGGGACAGCAGTGCAGGTGGTCGGAGCAGCAGATGGCCTGAGTGGGGACAGGGGTGGTGGGTCTCTGTGACTTCCAGACGGAAGGCTGGCACTTCCCAGATTGCCCACCAGGGGGCGGCGCGAGCCCCGAGTCAGCCAAGTCCCCAGCAAGCAGCCAGCAGCCCTATCCCCAACCCTCAAGGGCGGCGGGTGGCTGGAGCAGGCGGCCAAGGTGGCTCCCGCCCCGCACTCACGTTGGGCATCGGGCAGCAGCCATACTTTCCACTGGGCAGCTCACAGCAGGTAGAGCCCTCAGGGCACTGGGACCGCCCATCCGGACACAGGACGGAGGTGGACAAAGCCACTGGAAGAGGAGCCAGGCGTTAGGGCAGCCGGGGCAAGGCAGCTTTTTCCCAGCTGGAGTCAGTCGGGCCTTGCCCCACTCCTCACCTGGCCTGTTAGTCCTCCGCGCTGGGACCTTCTTTGCCAGAGGCTGGGTGCCCGTGGGCGTGATGCAGCGGGTATGAACCAGGTCGCAGGAGGCACCATGAGGACAGCAGTGCACCCTGTCTTCACAGCAAGAAGCCTGAGAAAAGATTGTCCTGAGTCTGTGCTCCCCCGGCCCCCAGCGCTGCCCTGGCCCCCTCCTCCCACCCCTGGGCCCCCACACCTGTACCTGGGGCATGGGGCAGCACCCCCAGGAGCCGTCAACCATAACACAGCACGTGGAGGAGTTGGGGCACTCGAACTGGCTCCCCGGGCACTGGATGGCACCCAGGGGGCTGGTACCTGCCGACAGGATGGTCCAGCACCCAGCACCCAGTCAGGGATGGCCACTCTCAAGGAGCTGGAGACACCAGGGCCTGTGGGCCCCGCTTCAGGGGGCTGGGGGTGGCAAAGGACTCGGGGATCTCCCAGGCACCCCTGAGGCCCCCCCTCCCAATCCGGTCCCTGCCTTGGCAAGATGGCGTGAGGAGGGATGCCTACTGACAGCGGGCTGGACTAGCCCAGCCCAGCCTGACCTCCCTCTCCCCACCCCATGAAGCCAGGACCTGAGCCTGGGCTCCTGAGTTCCCTCCTGTCCCCTCTGGTCCCAGCTCCTCTGGCTAGAGCTGGGGGTGTGGGGGGGTTGCTGAGTCCAGATGCCCCCAGAGGAGGGCAGCAATCAGGGCCACCCAGCTCCACCCACACCCCACTGCACCTGAGCTTCTGAAGCAGGACTGCCCGTCAGCGCTGCAGTGGAAGCCCCGTGGGCAGCAGTGGAGGCTGTCCCCGCATGCCACGGCCTGTGGGTCACAGAAGATTGCGTTAACAAGGCCCTTTTTCCTGGGGGTAGGACAGGGCGCACAGGCCTGAGCCCGGTCACCGAGCAAACAGCAGCCTCACCCCTGGGAATGGACAGCAGCTAGAAGTCCCTGAGCCGGTGAGGATGCATGAGTGGTTGGTGGAGCAGTGGGCATCCAGCTGGCAGGGTCCGCCCAGACGCCTGCTCGGAGCTGTGGGCCATCTGTCCTGGGAGGGGAGTGGGGAGAGTGAGCCATAAGGCCTGTGCTGGCCTCCCTCGGGCCACTCCAAGATGGCCCTTGGCAGACTCAGGCTGTGGCTGTGCCCAGGTGGCAGGCACTTACCGGAAGGGGGCTGCAGCAGCTATAGCCAGCTCCTCCTGAGTTCAGGCAGCAGGCCACAGGGCAGAGCTGACCATCTGGGCACTGTGTTCCGGCCACCAGCCCTGCCACTAAGGCCACCCAGTTCACCAGGGTCCACATGGCCTGCCTGCGGAAGACCGAGGAGCAGACTAGCCACTGGGCAAAGCCCAGGCCACCTCAGTCAACGCCACCCACTGTCCCAGCCCCGGGTCACGGTCCAGCCCAAGATTGCCCAGACCTCCCTGCAGCCCCCACGTCCAGGCATGCAGAAAGCTGGGGGGGGTGTCGCCTTCTGCAGGGGCCTGAGTATATCACACACCCCGATATGTGCACACCCACAGGCATGCACGTCGACATGCAAACGTGTGTGGTCTGAGCCCCAGGAGCATGGGTCTCCTTGGGTGAGGCACAGATGTCAGCTCAGAGTCACAAAGACGTGATCTTTGTGGGTCTGATCTGGGGGGACGTGGCCACTGGGGGGGGATGGGAGAGAACAGGGCAGGGAGGGAGGGAGGCGACCTCCCGGGAAGAGTCAGGGCTCCCCTCCAGACGCCTGCTCGCCTGACATGGCTCCCACCTGCACCTGTCCAGGCCTCGGAGTGGCCACGTGATGACAGAAGAAACCACAGGGTGAGAAAGTCGTGAAACAGGAAGTGCGGTGGCCAGTGGGGTCTGGCTGCCTTCCCAGAGGCCAGTCACAGCCCACCCATGATGTCCCCTCCTCACCCAGGCCAGCTCAGCCTTGAGACACTCTGTCCTGAGGGTCCCCCAACACCGCCGGGACCCTTTCAGACTCCCCAGACATGTGACTCTTCTCCCAGCCTCTCCCTCGACTCTGGAAGTGAAACTCAGCCGCATGTGCAGGCCATGTGGGCCCACGGGGTTGCCCACATGAGTCAGCAGGGAGAACCGGGCCTCACATGCCTGGGGCAAGCAGCCTCTCACTTCCCCCGGCTCAGCCAGCCCAGCCAGCTGACTGGGGCGACCCGAGAGTATCTTCTGGTCTCGTTGGGCAAAACAGTCACGTGTGTTGAGCCCCTTGGGAGCCAGTGGCAAGACTCTCTGTTATTTTACCTCTTTGCAACAGCACACTACTAGAGCAGTAACTATTGACTAGATGCAGTGGTTCACGCTGGTAATCCCATGCTCTAGGAGGCCGAGGAGAGAGGATTCCTTGAGCCCAGGAGTTTGAGACTTACCTGGGTGACACAGGAAGCCCTTGTCTCTAAAAAAAAAAAAAAAAAAAAAATTAGCTGGGGTGTGGTGACACGTGACTGTATTCCTAGCTGCATGGGAGGCTGAGGCAGGAGGATCACTGGAGCCCAGAAGGCTGAGGCTGCAGTAAGCCATGATCGTGACACTGCACCTCAGCCTGGGTAACAGAGTAAGACTCCAGCACAGAACAAACACACAAAAAGTAGCAACTATTACCTTTACTTTTATCTTTAGAGATGGGGTCTCACTATGTTGCCCAGACTGGACTCGAACTCCTGGGCTCAAGTGATCCTCCTGCCTCAGCCTCCCATGCAGCTAAGAATACAGGTCTACAGGCGTGGTAATACAACCCAGCTTACCTTTTCTTTCTTTTTTATTTTTATTTTTGAGTTGGAGTCTCACTCTGTAACCCAGGCTGGAATGCAGTGGTACACTCACGGCCACTGCAGCCTCTACCAGTTGGGCTCAGGCGATCCTTCCACCGTATCCTTCCAAGCAGATGGCATGTCCACCAGGCCCAGATAATTTTTTGATTTATTATAGAGACAGGATCTCGCCAAGTTGCCCAGGCTGGTCTTGAACCCCTGGGCTCAGGCAGTCTTCTCACCTCTGCCTCCCAAAGTGCTGGGATGACAGGTATGAGCCACCATGCCCAGACACCTTTACTTTTAAAGGAGGAAAGTGAAGCAGTGATGTAGGTACAGTTGGACCCCTGTATCCACGGGTTCTGAATCCGAAGGTTCAACTAGCCAAGGATCAAAAAGACGTTTTGGGGGGGGGGTTGGGGTCTCACTATGTTGTCCAGGCTGGTCTTGAACTCCTGGACTCAAGTGATCCTCCCACCTCAGCCTCCCAAAGTGCTGGAATTACAGGCATGAGCCACCATGCCCAGTTCAAAAATACTTTTTAAAAAAATTCCAAGCCGGGCTCAGTGGCTCAGCCTGTAATCCCACGCTTTGGGAGGCTGAGGCGAGTGGATTGCCTGAGCCCGC